AATGAATGTCAGAAGAGACTCTGAAACTTGCTCTTGAGCATAGAGATGCTAAAGCAAATGGAAGCAATTAGGATGTAAAAAAAACTGCACAGAAAATGTCAAAAGACAGCTCAAGAAGACAAAATCAAGTATTATAATGAAAATTGCAAAGACCTGCAGTTGGAAAGTCAAAGGAAAGAACACACTCAGCAATTCTCAAAATGAAAGAATAGAAGAAAAAATTCAAACTTCCACTTGAAATATCAAAGAATTCTATGAGCAAAATATTGAGTGATGCAAAAAGCATTGAAAGAAGACTTTCAACCATTTAAGAGGTAGCATATGATCAAGAATCGATGGTACTGAAGAAAGAAGTCCAAGATGTACTAAAAGCATTGACAAAATACAAGGATCCAGGAATTTATGGAATACAAACTAAAATCTCTCAAAAAATTGATGAAGCACTGGAGATGTTCACTAAACTATGCCAAGAAATTTGGAAGACAGCTACCCAGCCAACTGATTAGAAAAGAATCATACTTGTACCCATCCAAAAAGTGATGACCCAAGCAAACGTGGAAATCATTGAACAGTATCATTAATATCACAAGCAAGTAAATTTTTACAGAAGATAATTTAAAAATGCCAGGGAACCACCACAAATTCAAGCTGAATGCAGAAGAGGACTATCATTGCTGATGTCAGATGGATATTGGCTGAAAGTATAGATTACCAGAAAGATGTTTTTTGTGCTATATTGACTATGAAAAGACTTTTGGCTGTGTGGATAACATTGCTGAGAATGTATTCTAGAGCACAATTTTGAACTCATGAGGAAGTTGTACATGTAATGACTGACCAAGAGGCAGTCATTACAACAGAACAAGGGGATGCTTTAAAATGCTTTAAAATCAGGAAAGGTGTGTGCCAGAGCTGTATCTTTTCACCATACATATCCAATCTATATGCTGAGCAAATAAACTGAGAAACTGGGTTATACAAAGAAAAACATGGCTTCAGGATTGAAGGAAGACTCATTAAAAATCCTTGATATGCAACTATTTATTTATTATTATTTAGTTATTTAGTTATTTATTTTCTGGAATCACGGAGAATTTTAAATACTTGCTGAGAAGACCAAAAACTATAGCCTCTAGTGTGGATTGCATCTCAATGTACAGAAAACAAAAATCCTCACAACTGGACCAATAAATAGCACCATTATAAATGGAGAAAAGGGTGAACTTGTCAAAAACTTCATTTGTTTGGATCTATAATAAACATGGAAGCAACTGTCAAAAAATCAATGACGTATTGCATTAGGCCAATCGGCTATATAAGACATCTTTAAAGTGTTCAAGCGAAAAGGTATCAGTTTGAGGACTTTGGTGCACCTTACCCAAACCATGATATACATTCAGCGGTCTCAAATGCATGTGAAAGTTAGACAACGAATAAGGAAGGCTACCGAAGAATTGATGCATTTCAGTTATGGGATTAAAGAAGAACATTAAAAGTATGATCGTCTACCAGAAGAAATAACAAATATAATTTGCAAGAAGTACAGCCAAAATGCTCCTCAGAAGGCAGGATGTCAAGACTTTGTCTCTCATACATCAGACATATCATCAGGAGGATGATTCATAAAGTGGAGAGTCAGTGAAAAAGAAGAAGAAACCAATGAGATGGATTGGCACAGTGGCAGCAACAGTGGGTTCAAGTGTGATAATTATGAGGATGGCATCAAGTAGTGTTTTGTTCTATTGTGCATAATGTCACTATGATTTAGAGCCAACTAAGTGGCACCTAACAATAGCTGCAGCATATAGTAGTGCAATGCTACTATATTCATAGATTCTTAGTGAGACCATTTGAAACAGAGCATAGTGGAGACACTGTTCTAATGCTGAAATCAACAAATATTTATTACTCACAGAATCAACAGGAAAGGGATGAGTAGAACAGCACACATTATCATCAACCAAGATTCCCTGAAACTAGGATCCTATCCCAGAGTATTGCTAGATTGTATCCAAGCACACCCTGGTTTCTGTCGTGAGAGGAGAATGCCTACATTCCTCTCTCCCAGGATTAATTACTATCAGGAAGGCATGTCTATGTGCCAGATAGCATGTGATAAAAAGGGATTATTAAAAGTAGTAGTCTTGGTATGGTGTTGTAATATAAGTACTGGACTGCTTACCACAAAGTCTGTGATACAAATCCATCAGTTACTCTTTGGAAACCCCATACAGGATCGCTATGAGTCCAAACCAATTCGATGGCACCTAACAACAATAGAAGTATAAGACTTCCTGTAGGCAATGAACATAATATATTGCTGTTTAAGCTAGTCTACATTTACTAGCACCAGAGAACAGTCCTTTCCCTTACCCCACTAAAAAAATGTTAACAGAGTTCTGGGTTTCTCCAGAGGATAATCATCTCCCCTGTCTTAGTTATCTAGTGCTGCTGTACCAGAAATACAAGTGGATGCCTTTAACAAACAAAAATTTATTCTCCCACAGTTTAGTAAAGCAGAAGACTGAATTCACAGTGCCAACTCTAGGAGAGACTTTCTCTCTTTGTTGGTTCACAGTCCTTGTCACCATTCAGAATCTGTATGTCTGGAGTTCCTTGGAGACCCCATTTGTCTTGGTACAAATCTTCCCTGAGTCTAGGAGCTTCCAAGCACAGGGATCTTGGGAGAAAGGTTGTGCTCCATTCCTGGCTCTTCTTTCTTGGTGGCAATAGACTCCTCTTTGTTGTTCCTTTGTCTCTGCTTGTATCTTTTGTAAGGTAAAAGGTGTTGCAGGCCACACCTCAGAAAAACTCCTCTTACATCAAATCAGGGCTTTGATGGAACCTAAGGTATTGCATCCTACCCTCTTCTTGGTTTATCACATCAGGTCATATCAAGGGGGATCATTATATACATTATATCATTGCATAACTGTCAAACCATGAAAATCATGGCACTGCCAAGTTGGTATGCATTTTAGGAGACACTATTCAATCCATGATCTCACTGTTGTTGTCACTGTTAAGTGCTATCAAGTTTGTTGTGACTCATAGCAACTCTATATAGGGTTTCTGAGGAGCGGTTGGTCAGTTTGAACCACCAGTCTTCTGGTTAGCAGTCTAGTGTTTATCCTACAGGGCCATACCAGAATATTGATATCCCCCTAGGGCACATAATTTACATTATGTCTATTAGTGGTTAGTAAGATTATGAGAGAAATAGCATATCTGTGCAACCAGAAAGTTACTAATACTTGTATAGGATATATTGCTGTTAAGTACTGTCTAGTTGGTTTTGACTCACAGCGACCCTGTATAGGATTTCCAGGGAGCATCTGGTGGGTTTGAACCACCAACCTTTCAGTTAGCATCCAGTACTTATCCTAAAGCACCACATAGATTATAGCTATTATAGTATTTAAGTGCTACATTTACCAATAATATGGTGATCAACCAAAAGGGAGTCTCTATAAAGAAATCTTTCCTTCCTTCCATCGTTCTACATTGTCTCCTTCTTTCTCATGTGTTAAATATAATTTTAACTTCAATATGAGTTTAAGCTGGCTATAGTATTTCATGTTTCAAACTGCCTATATAAAGTAATTCTTCTGTAGAAACATCAACTGACATTGAGTCAACTGTAACTTATGGCAACCCCACGTGTGTCAGAGTAGAACTGTGTCCCATAGGGTTTTCAATGGCTAATACTTCAGAGTAGATCACCAGATCTTTCTTCTGAGGTACTTCTAGAGAGACTCAAACTCCCTACCTTTTAGATGGCAGTTGAGTGCCTTAACTATTTTCATACAGAATAATTTTTTATAGTTTCATAAAATTTTTATGCAGTTTCATTTTTCCTATAATAGTTTCCAAAAATAATATTGTTTTTATAGGATTCTAAAATAATATTACCTGTTTTTATGGCAATACTTAAGATGAAACAACCTCCTGTAAGTCATACCAAATGACCATAAAATTCCTATAATATCTTGACTCTGCATCATATAAACTTGGCCCCCATGAGCCAATGAATATCTTCCATTGAACTACTGCTGTGATTTTCTCAAAGACTGAACTATTATGAGCCCAACCCATGGCTTGGAGAAAGTGGAGCACATTTACAAGATGATGTATCATCACCAACATGTCATATCTGTCAGCACTACAGAAAACAATTTGAAGAGAAAAGTGAAATTTCAGTATCCAAACCGTAACCAAATTTTTGAAAAATATGAATTTTTCAAAATTGTATATATATATATATATATATTTATATATATATATATATATATATATATATACACACACACACACACACACACACAATTTCTAAAATCATATTTCAAAGATAACATTTTTATGTAATATGATATAAATTGCATCCTGCCCTTAACATATATGATTTATATATATATATAATTGTGTATGTTTTCAAAGAAGACATTTTGTATAGAATAGGATACCAACACTAATTAGAAAACCACGTCTCCTAAGGCATTGGCTGTCTTCATAGCTATCTCTGTATTAGAAACAACAGGGAGCACAAAAACTTAAAAGCAAAAATTTCTGAGAAAGAGACTCAGGCTTCAGTGTTTTCAGATAGATTCCCAGTTGATCTAAATGTATACTCTGAATTGAGAACCACTGTCCAAAGGCATCAGAAAACCATTTGCCATGAGGTCAACTCTGACCCATGTGTTTCAAAATAGAATTGTATTCCAAAGGGTTTTCAATAACTGATTTTGTGAAGTAGATCACCAATCTTTTCTTTTGAGGAAACTTTAGGTAGATTTGAGAGATGCCACTGGGTGGACTTGACTTCTGGCATTTTTATTAGAAGACAAGTCTGGCAACCATTTGTACCACCCAAGTACTCCATAGGCATTAGAAACTTGGTCTTATCTAAGAGGCTCAACCCATTGAGAGCTGCAGGTTTCTGTTGATACAGATTCCTCAAAACTGAAAGTAGTAGACTTAATGTTAGTGTTTATCTCTTCCAGGTCTTTTCGCCATTCCACCAGGACTTCTACTATAAGGAAAGGAGCCCCTGGACCAACATCCTCTAAGATGTTTATATGGACCAGTGGTCGGACTTCTTCATCTTACAGACATGATGAGAAAAGGTAAAAGCCCTGGGACCCTGGGACTTTTTCAGGATCATTTCACTTGATTATCCAGAAAGGATAACAAGAAAAGCATTATGGAACTGAGTTTCATGTTTTGCCAAGTGTTAACGTGGGGGAAGGGTATATACTGAAGAACAGGTTTTCAGACACTTGAACCTTCCTCTCCTTGCTCCTCACATACTCATTCTCGCCACTTAACTTTGCATATGTTGTTCCCTATCACATATGTTGTTGCTGTTGTTAAGTGCCAATTCCAACTCATAGCGACTGTGTATAGGGTTTTCAAGGCTATAAATCTTTGTGGGAGCAGAAAGTCTCATCTTTCCCCTATAGAGGGACTAGTGGGTTTGAACCACCAACCTTGTGGTTTGCAGTCCAGTTCCTACAGAATCACTGTGCTCCCCATTTATACATTTACCCACTAACAATTCACTTGCCGATGTTGTTGTTGTTGTTAAGTACCATCGAGTCAGTTCCCAACCATAGTGACCCTGTATAGGGTTTCCGAGGATCAGCTGGTGAGCTTGAACTGCTGACCTTATGGTTCAAATAACTTTGCAGTTTAGCACATTAACTCACAGCATCACACCAGGACGCTACTTAAGCGGACTCTGTCTTCAAATGCCCATTTAAACAGAAAACACCCATACCCCTACCATTCTCTTGACTAGTATACTTTGTTTTATATTCACCATTTCAACACTAGCATTATATGCTGTTTATAGTGCTGTTATTGTGAGGTGCCCTCAGGTTGGTTCTGATTCATAATCATCTTATGCACAACATAATGACCTTCAAAACATTGCCTGGTCCTGTGTCATTCTCACAACTATTTTTCTTGAGCCCATTGCTGCTGCCACACAGTGTCAATACATCTCATAGTGGGGTATTTTCTTTCTCACTGACTGTCTAATTTACTAAATATCATGTCCTTTCCATGGATTGGTCCCTCTTGTTAATATGTTCAAAGTATGAGAGTTGAAGTATTGCCAACCAGGCTTCTAGGAACATTCTGGTTGTACATCATCCAATACAGATTTGTCTGTTATTATGGAAGTCCATGGCACTTTCAATATTCTTCTAGAACAACGTAACTCAAATGCATCAATTATTCTATGGTATTCTTTATTCATTATTCAACTTTCACATGCATATGAGTAAATTGAAAATACCATGACTTGAGTCAGTCACACGTTAGTCCTCATATATTGCCATCTTTGCTCTTGAATAGTTTGAAGAGGCCTTCTGCAGCAGATTTGCCTAATGCAATGTGTCCTTTGATTTCTCAACTGCTGCTTCCATGAGTGTTGAAGTGAATTCAAGCAAAATGAAGTCTTTAACAACTTCAATCTTTTCTCCATTTATCATGATGTTATTTATTGGTCCAGTTGTGAGGAATTTTTCTTACTTTACATTGAGGTGCAATTCATATTAAGACTGTTGTTTTTTATATCTTTATCAGTTAAGTATTTTAAGTCCTCTTCACTTTCAGCAAGCAATGTTGCATCATCTGTACATCATAGGTTTATACTGAGTCTTACTTCAATCCTGATGTGACACTCTTCTTTATATAATCCAGCTTCTTGGATTATTTGTTTAGCATAGAGACTGAATAAGCACGGTGAAAGAATGTAATCCTGACAGATACCTTTCCTGATTTTCAACCATTTAGTATCCCCTTGTATGTATAGGTTTCTCATGAACATGACCAAGTGTTATGAAATCCATTCTTTGTAATGTTATCCATAGTTTGTCATGATCCACAGTCAAAAGCCTTTGAATAGTCAATAAAGCACGGAATAAACGTCTTTCTGATATTCTCAGCTTTCAGCAACTATCCACCTGACAGCAGCAATGATATTCTCTTCTAAATACAGCTTGAATTTCTGAGAGTCCCCACTTGCAGATGTTTTTTTAACTATCTTTGGCAAAATTTTACTTGCAGGTGATATTAGTGATATTGTTTGATTATTTCCATTTTCTATTTGGTCACCTCTCTTCAGAATAGGCACAAATGTGGATATATTCCAATCAATTGACCAGGTTAATGTCTTCCAAATTTAATGACATAGGTGAATGAGCACCTCCAGTGCTGCATCAGTTTGTTGAAAGATTTCAAACTTGTATGCCATCAATTCCTGGAGACTTTTTCACCAATACCTTCAGTGCAGCTTGGACATCTTCCTTTAGTATCATTGGCTCTTGATTATATGCTACCTCTTGAAATGGTTGAACATCGACCATTTCTTTTTGATGCAATGACTTTCTGTGTATAACTCCCAACTTCTGTTGATGCTTTCTGCATAATTCAATATTTTGTTTAGTGAATCCTTCAATATTGCAACCCAAGGATTGAATTTTTACTTCAGTTCTTTGAGCTCAAGAAATGCTGAGAGTGTTCTTCCCTTTTGGTTTTCCAGCTCCAGGTCTTTGCACATTTTTCATTGTAATATTTCACCTTGCCTTCTAGAACTACCCTTTGGAATTTTTTCAGCTCTTTGACTTCATTTTTTTTCCCCATTTGCTTTAGCATCTCTATGCTAGAGCGAAGTTTCAGAGTCTCTTTTGATATCAACTAGTCTTTTCTTTCTTTCCTGACTTTTTTTGTTTAATGTTTTATTGTGAATTATGTGATAGTTTACATGGGAGAACATTAGTTTTACATTCATTCTATCGTATATCGTTTCATTGCTATGGTTATAATCCCCTCCATGCATCATCAACCAACCAAAGGGTATACCCCACAAGCCTGCCCCCTTGGTGGTCAGCACACAGCCCCTCTCCCTCTCTAGGTCTAGAGTCCCCAACCGCTCCACTCTCCATGTCATTGTCTCTGCCTCCATCTCTGGCATCACTGTTTCTCTGGGTAGGGTCCCATACTCCACTCTTCTCCCTTCTTTCCTGACTTTTTAAGGACCTTTGTTTTCTTTCTATATGACGTTCTTGATGGTATCCCACAGCTTTCTGATCTTCAGTCTAATGCATCAAATTTGTCCTTGAGGTGATCTCTAAATTCAAGTGGAATATGTTCAAGGTCATTTTTTTTACTTTTGTACACTTGTTTTAATGTTCTTCAGCTTCAACCTGAATTTACATATCAGCAATTGATGGTCTGTTCCACAGTCTGCCCCTGGCCTTGCTTTGGCTAATGATATGGAGCTTTTCTACTATCTCTTCACACAGATTCATTGTTGGTGGTGTGCCATGGTGTCAGTTCTGACTCACAGTGTCCCTGCATAGTTTTCTAAGCTGTAAGTCTTTATGGGAGCAGAAAGTCTCATCTTTCTCACATGTAATGGCTGGTATTTTTGAACTGCTGACCTTGAGGCTAACAGCTCAACTCTTAACCACTATGCTACCGGAGCTCCTTTCACAGAGATGTCATCAATTTGTTTTCTGTGTATTTCATCTGTTGAGGTACAAGTGTATAATCAATCGCCTTTTATGTTGTTTAAAGAAGCTATTTGCATTGGTCTTGCAAAATTTTATCATACAATCTCCAGCATCATTTCTATCACAAAGGCCATATTTTCCAACTACTAATCCCTTCTCTTTGTTTCCAACCTTTGCATTTCAATCAACTGTAAATATCAGCATACCTTGATTACATGTTTGACCAATTTCAGACTGAAGAAGTTGGTAGAATTCTTTAATTTCATCATCACTGATTTTAGTGGTTGTATGTAAATTTGAATGTTAGTGGTATTAACTGGTATTCCTTTTAGGCCTATCACAGATATTATCTTATCACAGAGAGCACTGTTCAAGATATTTCTTGAAATGTAATATTTGATGATGAATATGACACCATTCCTTTTGAATTTGTCTTTCCCTGCATAGTAAACTATGATTTAAAAGGCCAATGCAGTCCATATGAGTTCACTAATGCCTAAGATATCAATCTTTATGTGTCCCATTTTATTTTTGACAATAGCCTTGAAAACCCTATGCAGTGTTGCTATGAATCAGAACAACTCCGTGACACACCACCACCACCAATGTTCCTAGATTTATACTTCATACTTTCTATGTCCTGCTTACTAATGGGTGTTTGCAGCTATTTCTATTAATTATGCATTTTGCTCTATGAGCAAATAAAGATCTAAAAAAACTTTATTCCATTCATGTCTTCACAGTCAACTCTACTTTGAGGAGGCAGCTCTTCCCCAGTCACATTTTGAATGTCTTTCAACATTAGGGGCTCCTCTCCAGGCACTGTATCTTGCAATATTCTGGTGCTATTTATAATGCTTTCATCTGCTTACACTATATCTGACAATGTTCTACTACTATGTATAAGGTTTTCAGTGACTAACCATTCAGTAGTAGTCTATCTCTCCTTCTTCCTAGTTTGTCTTAGTCTGGAAGTTCCACTATGACCATAGGTGACCTTGCTGGTATTTAAAATTATCAATGGCATAGCTTCCAGCATCACAGCAACACACAAGCCACCATAGTACAACAAACTGAAAGGCAAGTGTTGTCAATTACCTAACACATTGTGATCATTAAGTCCTGTCCAGTTGGTTCCAACTCAGAGCAATCCCGTATAGGGTTTCTGAGGAGTGACTGATGAATTTTAACCATTGACCTTGCATTTCAAACAGACCTTGCAATCCAGTGCTTATCCTACAGTGCCTTACCAGCGCTCCAAACACATAATAAATAAATACTGCCTGGAGTAATAAAATTGCATGCCTAGGCAGTAGGCATACAGCAAGAGAGGAGAGTATAAACTAAGAGATCAAAAAGGAGAGGGAGAGGCAAATTCACTACACCTTCAAAGTTCTTACAATGAATACCCTGGGGGCAAGAGGGAAATAAAAGAATGAGAAGATTAAAGAACAAAAGTTGCTGCTAAGTGCCTTGGAGTTAGTTCTGACTCATAGGGACCCTGTACAGAGTTTCTGAGGAGCTGCTTATAGGTTTGAATCTTGTGGTTAGCAGTCAAGTGCTTATCTTACAGCACCATACCAGACCAGAACACCAAAGGATAA